TTAAAGTATTTTTTCATTCTATATATGATTGTTTGCAGTCAAAGTATCCAAAAACTTAATTCAAACTTATGTCAACAGTTTTTCCAATCTACACTCTTGATTTTTCTTTCATTATAAATGTAGTCAATCTTTTAAAAATGCATTGTTTAATTATTTTACAAAAAAGTTGATTCGGATTTAAAGAAGAATCACTTATATCAGAATAATGTTTGTGGAAAAACACCCAAACAGAGGAATTTATGTGAAAAGTAAATAAAATTATCTTTTCTACCATCTGAACTAAGTAACTAAACTTTTAGTTTCTGATATTTAATTTCCACACAAACATTTTCAGCTAATTTAATTAGTCATCATTAGGCTCTAACTATTTGAAGAGTCAAATTCTAGATGTTTTGAATAATTTTTTAGTGTATGAATGTTGCATGTACTTCATTCCAGTATATTAATTAATTTTTAAATCTCACATTGCAAAAGTAAATGCTAGAAATTAAAGATTTAGTTTTCTCAAGTTAATAGAATTAACGTAAACAACTGGATGAAATTATATAACATAAATTCTAAAATAATTTTTTTTACTATTGAAAAAATTACTAGAAATGCAAATTGCTTTTAAATTTACTCCATATAATAATACAGCTGATTTAAATGGAGTTGGAGAGTCAGCTTAACCGACTCTATATTTCATAATTATTTTTACTTTCCCAGTTGTTATAGAATATAATGTACGAAAACGTAATAATTGGTAAAATTTTTATTTCCCCTCCAGATTTTGCATTTTTTGACATTTTGATACTCCATGAGCCCAAAACTGTAAAAAAAAATTCCTTTTTCTCTTTAGAAAATTGTAATACTATTGAACCTACTCCTTCCCCCTGACTGCAGTCTTGTCAGTCCATATCCAACCTCTTTACAAACAGTTGTGAAAATAATAAACAAGAGTAGACAAAGAGTCATTAAAAAAATGGTGGAGAAAAAGCGGCGAAAATGGAGAGAGGGACGAGAGTTGAAGGAGAGGCAGAGTAAAGGTAGGAGTAGAGTTAGTGAAGAGAGGAAAAGCGATGGAGCTCAAAAGTGGGCAAGGAAGGATAAAAAGAATCTCGTTAACTGCATAGGACTGAGTTTCTACCGTACATGATCAAGCGCGATTAAAGTTTGATTTTTGCTAAGATATTTGACTGTTTCAATTCCGTACAAAACTGGCAAGAGAAATCTGTGAATGCCGGCTGGATTCTCTACAAAAATCCTCTCTCTCTCTGTGTGTGTGGCTGTCTGTTTATATTATTATATCTCAGGACTTTATTGACCTAAACTTTTGAAACTTGGCATGGTTATTTCTTTATGTGGAGTATTATAAATTTGTGTAATTTTTCTTTCTTTTGAATAAAGTAAAATCCCATAGCTATTATTCTCTAATTAATTTTAGACCACCACTGCATTGCTAATTAGCCTAATGAATTGTGTGTCAATGATGAAATGGTGGATAATATATATAAATAAATACAGTAGAGCCTCAAAAACTCGACACTTGATAACCTAGCACTCTCTGGATAACTCAGCCACACCCTGGCAGGGCAAAAAAATCCTTAGTTAATTAATTTTCATGATAAAGACAGCTTTATGCCTCATAAAGTATTTTTCTGAGGTCTGTCTTATCAGATAAATTACCGTACACAATGTATTCATTAATTTTCATTTTCATGTAGTAAAGGCTCTATGCCTTCATAAAAGACGTACTTTTCCTTTGTTTAAGGATATTTGGGCAGTTTATTCTCTGTTGTATTCTCAAGTAAACAATACATACAAGTACAGTACAGTATTTTCTGAGAAAACACTCATACTTATTTTTTTTAACCCCATTCCCGATAACCCGGCATTTTCACAAACTCGGCCACCCTTTGGTCCACATTAGGCCGATTTTTCGAGACTCTACTGTATTAAGTAATAAAACTTTTAAATTTACTTTTTTTATAATTACCTTAAATGTAAATATTTTAGTTTCAGATAATTAAAAACACAATAGGTGTACTTATATTCTTATATTATTTACACCTAATAACAATTATATCAATATATGTTGTGTTTTTAATAAAATATGACTTCTTCCTTATCAACAACATGAAGTAAATGCTAAAGTTTAAGTAGAAGCATATTTGTTATAACAAATAATACAATTTAGTTTAATAGGAATAAAACATTAGAAATTGAATTTCAGACACATGCTTTTGCCACGTACAAAGGCATGTATAACAGCATAATACTTTATAATTTTACTCTGTTTTGTCAAGAAATATGCTTCTTTATTGCATCTCTAAGTGTGTACTATTTTTGGTAAATAAAATTACCCGTTTTTACAAAATTCTCTTTGAAACCATGTTGAATAAGCTAAACAATAAAACAAATATGGATACAGCAACAAATGCATTACATATTATTTCATCTTGTATATGTGGACAACATAAATGCTATGTACTTACACAAACACAGCTAAATCTCCTATTTAAAAATACAAAATCTACATTTAAATACACAAACTCAGTGGAGTTTGTGTATTTAAATGAAGTTACACAAATGAAGTTTGGCCTAGACCAGGGGTTGGCAAACTTTTTTAGAAAAGGGCCAGATTGTAAAAAAAAATCAGGTTCAGGCCAGGTTGCAAACTTGAATAGGTATATTTTTTTAATAGGTACAGTACTTTACTCATAACTTTTTTTTTGTTTTTGCTTTATGTTTTATTAGGAAGGGATATTTTTTACATACATAATATTTATACACATTATTGCTGATCCTTAAAAACAAATAAAAACATTTTTAATGAACTTATTGTAGAATGTTGAAAATTTGTGGTAATGTGAAGAATGAAATTGTTTCTTCTGAGACAATATTTTATCATACTGGACTTCCAAGTTAGTAATTCCTATCATTCTCATGGGTCGGATTGAAAACAGGTGGCGTGCCATAGTTTGCCGACCCCTGGCCTAGACAAATGCAAAACACTTCACATAGAAAAGGCAATCCTGAAGAGGTGCAATTTTGCACTTGAAAATAGAGACAGTATTTGAATTTGTTGGCGAGTTTCAGCTCTATAAATATCTAGGATTCCAGCAGGACAAGCTTGCAGAACATGCACAAATAAAACATTCACAAAAATAAATTACAGGTATCCCTTGATTAATGAGATTAATTGGTTCCTCAATGCTATTACATTAATCAAAAACAGTAGTAACTCTGTATTTGACCAAATAATCACCAACCTCTGGAGCAAATTCTCAGTTAATAGAATATTTTTTTTTTATAGATGACAAAATTTTTTATGATAAAAATGAGTAACTAATTTAAAAATAAAAGGAAACTTAAAAGTATATAATGTGTCTGATTCACATTTTGCTTGCATAAAATCAGATCGAAATGTTTGCAGATAAAATGGACACCAAAGTTTTTTAAAATAAGCTTCTAAACAAAGAATACAATATCACATTAGCAGTTTTACAACTATCATAATTAAACTGCAGATCTATATCAGAAATTATCTCAGCAAGAATACAACAAATTCACCGACACTTTATTTGCCAAGAAAAACATACCAATGTTAATGCAGCTTTAACAGTTGTCTTTACTTAAGTGAAAGATACCTTTAAATTCAATTCTAGCAACAATGCTTGATACAAAACACACCCATAAAGCAATAAACACGTCATCCCAATACTCAATATTAATCATTGGGTATACACAACTAGTTTTTAATTATTAAAATTTAACACTTGATGGCTGCTTAACTGCCTATGTCTAGTAAATATTGCTTAATATCTTATTAATTAATTAGCCATATTGTAGCCTGATAAATATTTGGCTGTATCATTGGATTTGACTTTAAATGCAAGCATAAAAGCCAATAGCACAGGCAATTACTTTTATTATGGAAATGAAAAGAAAAACACAACAGGATTATCTGCAAGCAGTTTGTCATTTTTCAACAAAATTACAAAGCTTATTTAGCATTGTAATATGTTGAGCTTGTTCATCTATTCTTGTCTTTATTGCTGCAGTTTCACTTCATCAATAATGAAACAGAAAAAACATGTACGTGTTCCTTCAACGTAAGAAAATGTGAAAGTCGGAACAGGGTAAATAAGGATATCATCATTGCTCATAATGGCTTACATTAAGTTATTTTTCTGTAAAAGTTTTTCTGTGAAGAAACCAGTAGATAAAGAAAACAAAACTCAGACTTTAGAATTAATCCCTCAAGTTATTTTAAAATTTTTGGCTGAATTTTATAATTCAAACTGAAATTTTTTTTGTATAAAAAGATGTGATGTATTGTTAAAAAAAAATCCAACAATGAGTTGCTTAACTTTCTTGGCAACATTTATTGTGCATGTGGTACCATCTGTTACAATATTTTATTATCGAAAACTTTTTATATTTTTAACTATTATAAAATGGCAGAAAGCTTAATTTTGAAGATAGGGATGGGTTTTATAAAAAAAAAATTATAAATGCTAATAATGAGTAAAATCGTCATTATGTCTGACCCTACTGAAAATATAACACACAACCCCTTTTATCTCCCCACTCCATCAACCTTTAACCATCAAAATTTAATAGCGTTGATCCCCCTAATACACAAACCTCCCTGCAAAATTTCAGAAATTTTCGACAAAAAGCACGGGAGTTATTAAGCTTCAAAGAGGGTGAATAAACTTGTGCCCCCCCACACACAGAAAAAAACCCTCTGAATTTTTTTTGCATTTCTTAATGTTTCATGGTCCCAAGTCAAAAATGTAAAAATCTGGAGGATCTTTTTTGATCAATTTCCATACTTTCCCTCTGTTGTAGATAAGAGATGGGAAAGTAATAAAAGGAATTAATGAAAACATCAAGGAAAAATAAATTTTTATCAGAAGTCAAATCTTGTTAATTTTGCAATAATTTAAATCATTGTAGGTGTGTCTGAACAATAGACATTTTAATTTAAATTACCAAATGGTTTCTGTTTACAGCTCAGAATCAAATACACAGCAATGGACCAAGCACAATACCGCAATATAATGAAAGAGAGAGCCCTCAAAAACCCAGCACCGCCAACAGTTATAGTATGCAGGACGGGAGACCTTCCGTGGAAAGTCTGCTGGATGAACTGCAGAGTGCTGTTCCAAAACACAGTAGTTAGTAAGTACGATCATATCGTTTGAGTCTATAAATTTTGCAGAATTAGATTAGCAATATTTATCGAAAATTAGTGAAGATTTATAAAATATTAAAAAATTTCATCTGTATTGTTCGGTGAATCAAATTTAAAAATTTCATTTATTACAGAACACTGCAAATTTTAATGTTATTGCATAAATTTGTGTCATTTTTAATGGAAAACATTACTTAGTTTCATTGTACAAAAATATTCTAGAACAGCAAAGCATTGTGTGTTACGTAAAAATGTCATGAACAAATTACCTTCTATTGTATTATTTCATAGTTTTTGTCTCTTGCCAAAGTATTATTTCATATGATTATGATTATTCTAACAATAACTTCAGTTGCTGCTGTTCAAACAAACATTTAATACAAGTATTTTTATTTTATTAATTAAAAATTTTCTTTCAGATACTTATTGAAACTGCCCATAATTTTAAAATTTATTGATTTTTTCTATGCTTGATTTTTGGCACAACATATTTTTGCAATCAAATTGTTTTGAGACTTTTTATGTTGTTCGTTGGCAAGGAGGACACGTATATTTAAGGCATAGAAAGTCGTACAGTGACGGCCAAAATACCAGGTGTATAAGCTTAAATCCACTGTTTGCTAATAGATGATGTAAGTGAGTGTATTAAGCTACCCTGATAACACCATACTTTTTTTGATGATTTTGACATCTGTCAACATTAATCAGTGCAGATCATCAACTATTTCATACAACAACATACATTTTTCCTTTGGTAATCATGTCTACTTTTGTGCCAGAAAAAAGAGCATATGTGGCAAGCTTTGCTTTTCTGCTTCACTTTGAATAAATCGGCTGCCAAAGCACATCGAATGCTTGTGGAGGCCCATGGCAACAGTGCTTTATCAGAAACCACGTGCAGAGATTGGTTTCGTCAGTTCAAAGACGGCAATTTTGACTTGAGCGACAAGAAGTGTGAAAATCAGCCCAGGAAGATTGAGGACCATCAACTGCAGGCTCTTTTGGATGAGAATGATACCCAATCACAAAAAATGCTTGCCGAGCAATTGGGTGTTACTCAGCCAGCCATTTCCATGCATCTACATGCCATGGGAAAGATTCAGAAGATCGGAAAATGGGTGCCATATGAATTGAACGATAGGCAGATGGAGCAATGCCAAAATACATGCAAAATCTTGCTCGCCAGACAAAAAAGAATGTCATTTCTGCGTCATATTGTAACTGGCGATGAGAAATGGATATATTTCGAGAATCCTAAATGCAAGAAATTGTGGGTTGATCCAGGCAAACCATCAACATATTCCCTAAGATCGGAAAATGGGTGCCACATGAATTGAACAATAGGCAGATGGAAAAATTGCTTTGGACAGAAGACAATGCTGTGCATTTGGTGGGATTAGCAGGGTATCGTCTACTATGAGGTATTGAAACCTGGTGAAACTGTCAATGCCCACTGCTACCACCAACAACTGATCAAATTGCACTGTGCTGCGTGAAAAAAGGCCGGATTATCAGCAAAGACACAACAAGCTGATTTTCCTCCACGACAACGCACCATTGCACTTGTCAACATTGGTCTGAAACTACTTGGAGACACTCAACTGGGAGGTGCTACCCCATCCCGCTTATTCACCAGACCTGGCCCCTTCTGACTATCACCTGTTTTCGTCGAGGCACCACGCGCTTACTGAGCGGCACTTCGATTCTTACAAAGACATCTGAAAATGGCTTGATGAGTGGTTTGCCTCAAAAGAGAAGGAATTTTTTTGGCATGGTATCCACACAGTGCCTGAGAGATGGAAAAAATGTGTTGCTAGTGAGGGAAAGTACTTAAAAAGCAAAAACAGATTTACTCAAAGAAAAAAAATGTGTGTTTTTTTACTAAAAAACAGCAGATTTAAGCTTATACACCTGGCATCTGTCTCTAGAAAAGCATAGATATGGTTTCTAGAAAAATATTTCTAGGTAGTTTGGTTATAAACTCTAATTTATGTGTAATCTTACACATAAATTACGTATTGTTCTCTCTACATGTAAAATTTCATGGGTAAAAGCCAATTCATATAGGAGTTACAAACAATCAAAAATCACAAAATCTTTATCAATAAATATTTTTAGTGATTTATTAGTACTATCTGAAGAAATTATTTACAAGCAAATATATCTTGTCAAAAAAGAGTGAAACAGAAATTTTACACCACAAGCATGTAATGAGCACGTAATTAGTGTAGTTAGCACAATCATTTTGATTTGAACCTGAAAGTGCACAAAAATAAGTGGACTAATGGGCTCACGTGTGTCTTTTTCAAAATAATCAGATTTTTGCCATGTGTCGCACAAAATCAAATCTTTATGTTATGGCAAGGAGAAATGATTATGAATTAATGATTGTGCCATTAGGATAAAGTCTCTACTAATATATCCAATATGAATGGGCCTTTGCCAATGAAAGTTTGCATATAGAGAGAACAATAACTCGTCTTTATAAAAAACAAAATAAAATCAATAGATTAGGACCTGCACTGAGATCATGGTTTTGATTGTTAAAAGAATTATTGTAATTGTGGTAAAGTTCTTCATAAGAAGTTATTTCTAATTGGTTTAAAATCATTATATTAAAATTTAAATATCAAGAAGCATTTTAATATTTTCATCTTACGTATTGCTTATTAACAATAATTTATTTAGGAAAACAGTGGAAATTACTTTATTTCTATTTAATACTAACAAAGAGAATATTGTTATGACTAAGTACAGGCATACCTCGACTTACGTCGGTTTCGAGTTACGTCGTTCCCGATTATACGTCGCTTGTTAAAAAAGTATATGGAAAAATAAAAATCAAGTTTAAGTTATTTTATTCGACTTTACGTCTGTCCGCCACAAATATTGAAGTCGTAATATCACTAGATAAACGTTTAAAGCACATAAAATCATATTAAAATATATACAAGTATGTACTGTATTTACAGTACACGCATTCGTAAATTTAGATTACTTTTTTTGTACTATATTAAAAACTAAAATTTATTTGTTTGTAAGCTTAAAATAGATTTTTATTAACCATATATTATTTAAAATGCTTTCCTAGTGATAAGTAGATTCGGAGACAGGTAANCGCACCCGAGGAGTGGACCAAAGGGCCCCGGCACCCGCAAAGTAAAAGAAACATTAGAAAATTTTCCAAAAATATATTCCCAATTAAAAATTAATTTTTTTTATTTATATTGTGTCGTGTTTTATTTTTATATTACTTACGAATTGGCGATGACATAAGGTGGGAATTTTATCGAGTTCTTGTTAAATATTTTTTATTGGTTCAATTCGGCTCTCCGAGATGAAATCTCGTGCGCGCCACTGGGTCTAGCCGTACCCGAATTTAAACCTAGGTTTTTTCGTGGCCGGAATGAGCGCATTGAATCTTTAGCGTTAAATCCGTGGGGCGCAAAATATGTTTTACGCGGCCGGGTTGCCCGTTCCTAAACAGCTAAGGTCGGCCAGACCCGAAGATTTCAAAGTAGGATAGAGGGCACTTTGTAAGAACCTCTAGACCACACCCTTTTCGTCCGCAGGTTTTTTAGCGAAAACTATCGATACCGGTCCAAAACTTTTACAACGTTAGGTTATTTTTCTACCAAAACATTGCTATCGGCAAAGAATAAAGTCCGACGGTCGATCTTTTGCCAGATATTAGTCTCCAAACGTGGAAGTTGCCGGAAAATCGGAACTGCCCAACAACGCCAGTTCCGGTCACCATCTTGCTGGCGGACGTCACGCTCGCAAGTTAACATAACTTGCATAAAGCGACAATGGGTGTCTTTAACAAATAATTATTGCATTAACTGGTACAAATGCAGGTCACGTGGCGAGGGGGAACCCCCTACCGGTAGACCCCCTCTTTGCGATCAATAAATGTCTAATGAACCACACCCGTACTGGCGACCCTTCACAAGATATAGTCCCCCAAAATCGGGCCGTGCGAGCTCCCAAACCCCTAAAATTATATAACATCACGTACTCTACCGAATGGTCTACTCGACAATTAATACGCAATTTTTTAATTAGTTCTGTTCAAAGCATCTTTTACCGGCTTATTAATACTATATATAAAAAAAAAACTATATTACATACCACGTACAAATGTACGAACAACTTTTTGCCCAGCGAAGCGGGTCCTTGCAGCTAGATTCTAGATTACTTAGAAAAACAGTCTTTTATATATATAAAAAAAAAACTATATTACATACCACGTACAAATGTACGAACAAATAAAAACCCAACGAAGCGGGTCCTTGCAGCTAGTAGTTTTATAAAAAAGAAAAAAGTCACATCGGTCCAACGAAATTCGAAACACCAATCTCACGAGTACGAAACTGGNGCAGGGTCGGAGGAAAGTAGTTCGGCTGCTCATCCACTATTGGTCCAGACTCTATCAATCTTGTCGCGAAACGACGTTATAGTAGGTACGTTATACGAAAGTTGCTACAATTTTTTCGCTACGTTATAGGAATTGTCGTTATAGGAACGTATGTTATAGGGGGGTCGACTGTACATATAAATTGTGTCTTTGCTCTGCTTAAGACACAATGTTGACCTCTAGATGGTGATATTAATTATTTTTATAAAGTGTCCAATGGTATTTTTGATTTAAAATGAAAAATAATCATTTGTTAGTTTATAAAAAAAAGAATATACTCAATTATGAGATGATTTTGATGGCAAGCCAATTTTTTGTTGTTTTTTAGGTGGTGACTGCACTAGGCAAAACTTGGCATCCAGAACACTTCACTTGCACGCACTGCAATTTGGAACTCGGCACAAAAAATTTCTTCGAGCGTGACGGCGAACCTTACTGCGAGAAAGACTATCACAACATATTTTCTCCCAGATGTGCTTACTGTAATGGACCAATCCTGGATGTGAGTAGAACTTAATTTTATCTTGCAATAAATTACAATTACCTATAAATGAAAAATATACAGAAAGGTTTTTTATTTATTAATTCTTTAGAAGTGCTTAAATAGTTATTTTAAATTAAAGAAAAAACAAAATCTAATGTTTAATCTAAAGACAATTACTTACTGGCACAATTTTAGACAATTTTGAATTAATGGCATCACATTAAAAGTTTATGAAAAGCCAACCAAATGATTTTCTGGATGGTCTACAAATATTGTGTTTTACATAAATATTTAACAATATTCTTTTACTGGATTAAGTCAATAAAACAAAAGTTTATGATTGGGTGAAATTCTATTCAAGATACTTGTCATTAATCTTTGTTTGTAGTAGATTGAGTAGCAAAACATTCAATTCATGTTATCACTCAGATGACTTGAAAAGATTATTTATGGCAAAAGATAGACTAATTTAGTGTCTTGGCTCTCATGCTTTTATCTCAGTTCACACACATTTTCACATCAGTCTACAGGTCACATACTTGCTTACTTTTGAGGTGTTACATGTGTCTTTTTTATTCTAAACTGTCATCTGATGATTACAATCAATGCTGTGTGTTATCTGAGACGTTTCGCTTGGAGTGTCCTGTCCGACTTACCTGACCTAAAGAGCGTAAGTGTGGCGGGTATTTTTCACAAGCATTGCAAATAAGCATGTTTTTGTGGTGATATGTGCACAATAAGACAAATCTCGGTGGCAATTCAGTGAACGGCCAGGACGTGTTGAATTTCTGAAAGGAATTCAAGAGAGTTGTATAGAGAATAACGTAGCAGTGGTTTTGCCTTTGAATTTAGTTTAATTGTCAGAGAGCTGAGAAAGCAGATTGCATCATATTAAAGCAGAATTTTCTTAATCCCTCTTCAAACTTCTGACATAATAGTCACTTTACTCCAATAAGTTAAATGAGTTTTACATCAGAATCCTGAGGAGGGATTAAGAAAATTTAATCCAAATCTCATAGCTATTTTATTCTTTCTTTATAAGCAGTCTTTTTTTTTTCTTTAATATAGGTATTAAATCGGAGACAGACATGAAGTTTTTCACTAGCCTTGTGTTTTATGACTGAATTTTAACAAAATTTTATATCCATTTCATTTAAAGATCTTTCTTTAATTGGTTTTATCAATTTTTTAAAAGACTTTTTAATAAATGATATATATTATGTGTATTCTTGCAAGCACAGTTTTTGGAGTAGTTTACTTTTTTTATTTTGTATCAATAGTTAAGTTTTATTATTGACACAAACATTGAAATGGCTGGTTATCATTCTTAAAGACATTTATCTCTGTGTGCTAGTAGTTGCTCCGCCTGTGTGACACAGTTCTGATTATTGGTATAGCCATTTCCCAACCGATAGGTGGTAATGTTTCCTTCAGAGATGCTAGAGTCGTGGGAAAAGGTGGAAGTCCAGAGGAGCCTGGCCAAGCCAAAACCTCTCGGTTGCATTGCCGCGGTAACGCAACAATCTTTAGCTACGTTTACACAGTTAGTTTTTTGTCAATTGCAATTGCATTTGTGTACGGTTCAGAGGGGATTGCAGTTGCAAGTGTGGCTAGTACAACAGTACGAGCATAGCCTTTGGCAGAGTTTGGGAATGCACGCATTGTGGAAAAATACAAAACCACAGGACCAAGACATTTTCACTTACGACAAATGGCTATCAAACAAGTAAACATTTCCTAATAAGCATACGCATTTGACAAGAACACCACAGGCAGACATTGATAGAAGTCCCAAAAGATGGTCTCTCAATTTTCTGGCGTGAACTACCTGTCGACGAGAGAGACTGGGTGCTTCCACGTTCTGTCTTGAAACTGAAAGGAAACTCACATTTCAATTTTTAGGATGGAAGTGACAAACCGGAGTTTTATCATATCCGGCAATGTCGGAACTTAAAAATTCTCCACACACTTTTACATAATGGCATAAACACTCCGTTTGAGAGTGCTCTCGATCCGCAGAAACCCAAACACCGGCAGATCTCAATCTCCAGGAAGATGGAAAATCACCATTCCACCGGACAGGGATTTTCCATCAATTTGGAAGTCTAATAGAGAATATAAAAGAAGTATCGTTAGAGGTAAACAGACTAGTATATGATGTGCAAAAGCCAAAGACAGAATTGCTTCGTACCCCATCAAAATGGGGTACGAAGCAATTCTGCCAGGTCAGTCTGCAATGCAAACCACAAGGAAGGATGCTCAGATTCTTTTCATTTAGGAACGAGAGACCACATAATCCCTACAAGTGAGCATTTGGATAAAGTCACTCGGCTTGCAACAAGTTTACGTGGCATCTCGATACTTCTCCACGCTCGTATAGACATTACGAACGACAGAGGTCCACAAAGGACCTTTAGAACAGTTGGCATAACATAAATAATTAATTTAACATCCGACGGCGCTCGGACGGCATAATTGCCCTGTATTCAGAAATTGCAAATTCAGATTGATTTCTATCATCTCATTTAATATTAATAATAAAATTATTTTTAATGCATTTGTATAATGTTTAAATTTATGTAATTAAATGAATTTTAATCGAGACGGTCCCTTACCTTTTAGACCCTTTTACCGGACCAAGTAATTGGATTTTGTTTCGTTTAGAAATGCGTGACGGCCCTGGATAAAACTTGGCACCCGGAACACTTCTTCTGCACGCAGTGCGGTCGACAGTTTGGCGAGGACGGATTTCACGAAAAGGACGGGAAACCCTACTGTCGAGAGGACTACTTCGACATGTTCGCACCCAAGTGCGGCGGATGCAACCGACCCATTACGGAAAATTACATTTCCGCACTGAATAGTCAGTGGCATCCGGAATGCTTCGTATGTAGGGTGAGTGCCAAACTTCTATTAAAAATTACGGTAATCCTAATAAAAAAGCGATTCGTTGATTGTTTATTTTACTAAATTGTATAAACGACTGACGGCGATTAATTCGTTGCAGGACTGTAGGCAACCGTTCAACGGAGGAAGTTTCTACGACCACGACGGTCAGCCTTACTGCGAGACGCACTACCATGCCAAGAGGGGATCGCTGTGCGCCGGATGTCACAAACCCATCACCGGCCGATGCGTCACCGCCATGTTCCGAAAGTTCCACCCCGAACACTTCGTCTGTTCCTTCTGCCTGAAGCAACTGAACAAGGGCACTTTCAAGGAACAGAACGACAAGCCTTATTGCCACGCCTGCTTCGAAAAGCTCTTCGGTTGACCCCGCCCCGCCGCCCCTCCTCTCTTCCGACCGCCTTCTTTCGCTAAACGTTAACCGCAGTTTTTAGTTACGTGACGGAGGCCGACCCACCCGTTTCTATAGTAATTGGCGGCCCACTTTGTATACGCCCCTCCGTACGAAACGGTGTATTGTATATCTGGGTGAAAGGCATTTTATTCCGGTGTTTGCCACGTCGTGCCAAATGGTGTGCCGACGGACCTAAATAAAGCTTGGACGCTAATCGTTTACGTATCGTTATGGCAGTGGAAATTCTTTTATTACGTAAAAACAAACCGGAATTCTTCGTATACGCGGGCACCGGATAATGTTGCCGACCGCGTGGCCCTGGTCAAGGTTTTTATACGTGGCCGGTTGGATTATCCGGAATCCGTCTTAGTGCATTCCTAAGCGTGACGTTTTTTGGAAGATTTTTATTTATATCGAGAATTGGGAAAAGATTAACAAAAGCGCTTTTTTCTTTACTTAAAATAGTCGGACCGTTTCTAGGAAACAAGGTGAAGGCGCGTCTTTGTACGAAATTTGTTCCAATTTGTTATTAAGATTTCTTAAACTGTGAAAAATCTTCGTTTCTCGATGCATCAATAAAGCATTTTAAAACAATTTTCGTCTCCCGATATTTGTTATATTTAAACCCGTCGTGCCTTTAAAAAATTTTGCCCCACCTGTGGCCAAGCGGTCTTCGTACCCCGAACACTGGGAGTCTAGTCTCGGGCTCGCGCCTCGCTCGGACGGGCTGGCCCCGTGGAGCTTTCCGGGCTTTCTCCACGTCTGTAACGCCTAAGTAGGGCCCAATTTCCCTTAAAAAGACCTCCCGGGAAGCATCGCCCAAGTGTTGCGTTGCCATAACTTAACCAACAACGTTTCGATGGGTGGTCTTAAAAATACGTACAAAATCGAGAGTGACTCCGAAAAATTATCGCCAACCGTTCGCCGGTTTTAATTTTTTTTCTTTTTTTTTTTTGTCGCTTCTTCGAATTGTTTATCGTCACCGGTTTTACTTACTAATTAACGAGGGTTAATAATTATCGGAAAGCAAATGTAACGCCTTAAGCTGTCGCTTACCGCACGTTCCGGTGTCCGATTAGAACCAAACCCGGCCGTTAGATTTTATTTTAAAAATAACATTTTTATTAAAGCCGGGAAAGTTACGCAACTCGTTGCTAGAATTTTCAAATGAGAAGATTTATATACATCACTGAAAAAACTCGATTAACGTTTAAAAACACTTCGTCGTCAACTAATTTGGAGGAGAACCATGTGTAAGGTATCGCGTTGAAAATATCGGAACACTAATCCTACCACCTTTGCATCTTCCGAAACGGACAACGAACACTCGGCCGTAATTAGATCTAGATTTCGAAAGATGCTTTCACAATACGTAAAAGCATCCTTTAAACGTAATTTTTCAACGTCGTGCAGCGATTCTTCTGCAAAACAAACTTCTACGCTGTCCACGTTACACATCTTTTCGTTCTTTAGCTAACGAAGACGCAATTATAGACGCATTTAGGTTAAACAATCTCTTTCTTGCCAGAGTAAGGACGAATATACAGAAATATGTTTTGTTTTTAAATAAATTTTGTTAGGTAATATTTCTTAATCGCTTTTGACATGGAATCGTTACTCGAAACAGGCCATTTTATTGTTTTATTATCCTGTTTATTGTACGATAAATTTGTAGTTTTCTAAAAAGAAATCAGTTTTTCTACCTGACAAATTACAAAATACCACAAATAAAGTAATAGTTATCTATATTATATTAATATATATATATATATATATTAGACGTGTGTGTCCCTATATTTCACTTTTCCGCCAAAACTACGCATCGCACATGAATGGTGTTTGTATGTGGTAGTAGCCCCAAGTCTCCATTCGTGCATAGGGGTGGTTGCGTCTCGATAGCTATAAGGGTGCGGGAGATATGGGGCTGAAAGTGGTTTTCTATTTCGATTTAAAAAATGTTCGAACCGTTTTAAATTCGAATTTGTTATTGCATATTGGTTCGATTATAGAACGATTGTAAACGTTTCAGAAACGTTGAAAATAGTTCGTTTGACTGGACGTGAACAGGAGACGTTCAGAAATAGAATCGGAACCAGGTCTCTAATTAGTCTGGAAACGGGGGACCTAATTCTTGCATTCTGTGAAAACGGGTAAGATTGGCTATAATGTAATTATCTTAATCTTCACTATCGTTACTTTTT